TCATGGTGTTGTTGTTGATGACGATGATGTTCCTTTTCAGGATGTTTGGTGTGGACCTGGAATTGGGTTCTCAGCTGATGCTGCTGCTGTTTCTGAAGATTGTGTTGTGACAAGAAAGAACGTTTCTTCAAGAGGAAAACTTGATAATGGGGAGAGAATAACACATAGAGAGGTATATTTGTCATTTCTTACCAATGATTCTTTTTATTTTTCATTTCAATTTGTTGAAAAGTTTTCTTTTAATGTGTTTAATTTTGTAAAATTAGAAGATTTAATTAATTATTTCTTTATGCATTATATGTCATATATTGCAATTGCAATTTCAATTAATAGTAATAAGGTTTTGATTTTTTTTTTCTTTTTGGTTATGATTTTCAATGGATGTGTCATCTTTATAGCTTGAGTAGGAAAGTCTAATGTTGATGTGTTCAAATAGGTGAATGAATGCATTGAACTCAAATCTGAAAAAAAGAAAATTAATTTTTTATTCAATTTTTAAGTTTTGCCTTTGTTTATTTTTTTAATTGGATTGAATTATTTGAGTTTATTTATAGAGATAAATATTTGTGCAACTTTTTGGAGAAGATGGGATTCATGCCATTCTGTTACCCGATCTAAATCAATTGTTTAAAGAGGACAAATTCCTATCTATCATAAATAAATAGTTGGATATAGTGCATCTTTGGTTTTATTTTTTGGAAGGGACAAAAGTAAATTTAGTGATGTAGAATTGATTTTGAATAATTTGAGATGTTTGATTAGGCAAAATTAGAATTGATTCTGTCTTTAGAATTTATTCTACTTAAAGTTAGAATTTGTAGTTTTTGCTTTCAGAATTCATTCCGAATGATATTTATACTGAAATTTATTGTTCAACTCATTTTTATATAAATGTATTCAAATATAAATAAATTCTGTTAAACTCAATTCTGATAAAATCAATTTTACTAAACTCAATTCTACTAAAATCAATTATGTCAACTGTCAATCCAAATACACCCTTAATCAATCGACTAATACAATTTATTTTATCATATTTAATTATTTATTTAATATGTTAAAATTAGAGGTTTTCAATGCAATTCAATTTAGTAACTCTACTTAATTTTTGTTATGGATAGAATCTTTAATCTAAACTATTTGATCTCAATTCATTCTTAGAGATTAATTAGAGTAAAGATTTGGAATTTGAAGGTGTGTTATTCGGATTGAAATCTCCTTAAATGTTAACGGTTTTCTTGTTGGATCAGTGTATTCAGAGATTTGTTTGTCAGGCATATGTCCGTTTGATCTGTATTTTTTGTTGGTCGGGTTTAACTTTTAAGTCTGCATTCTCTATTATGGTTTGTTCTGTTTTATTTTTTTACGAGTGCAGATATTAATATAAATTTTTGAACCCTCACTCTTTTGTAAGGAAGGTTAAAATTTTCGAACTTTTGTGAGACGGATCTATACGAGAGATATGTTTGTCTGCCACAGCTCTAGCATTATTGGGTTTCTTGGGTTTTTGTTTGCAGACGATGAAATTAGTCTTCTAAATTAGTCTGTCTTTTCTCAGGAAAAAAACTAGGGTGATAACGTGTATATTTTTATTAAGGTAGAAAGTTTGGATCTCTATAAGAGTACATAAAAATTATGATATATTTATAAGCTCAAACAACTTGTATAAAAATTATTTTATTTTATCTTTGTTAAAAAATAACTTATATATTATCTATTTATCCTCATAGTTATTAAGTGTTTTTATTGTGATCAAAACATCATCATATATACAACAATCTCCTAATGTGTACACGCTTTCAAATTCTAAATAGAGTATTTTCTTGATTGATGTATTGTGGACCCCTTGAAAATAAGTTTAGTGTAGTGATCAAAGACTTTGAAATAGAGGATGGCACGCACAATAATGCATGTAGAGTATTACTATAGCTTTTTGTTTTATTATATTGTAAAAGGCATATACATACATGTTAATGATAAGTTATAGTTTTCTAATCATTTATGTTTGTGTGTAAGTTTCGTAATTGTTTTGGTTACTTCTTGTTTTTATATATGCTCTAACTACATAGTATATTTATTGGCAGCGTTCATCTTATTTTGGAAGACACAATTTAAATCAAGAAAGTATATCATTTTTGGATGATGATAATAGTTCTGATGTTTTCACAACACGTCATGGATTAGAGTCTTTTGGTAATGGTAGATTCTATCGTAATTCCGAGGTTGGTTCTTTACTCTTGTCTTCTTTTCATGTTCTTTTTGTTTGAGATTTTCTTGTTCATGTTCATGTTCTGTTGTTGCTGCTTTTGAAGATAATGATAATTCAAGGAAAACGATTCATGGGAGGACGGATTAATTCACACGACCAATTTAGAGATTGGCGACTCGATGTTGATAATATGTCATACGAGGTTTGCCCTTTTCCAACAATATTGTGATGATTAGTAACAAGACCGTCCTTGAAAACGTGCAAGATGATTTATAATATGATTTCAAAATTTTCAAGATAAATTGATCCGTAGATAGGGCTTCATAATAAATCTGTCATGGTTAAATCATAACTAAGTTAGATTTCTATTTATTATCACGATTGAACTATAGCTAATTAAGATAGAGTCTCTGAATATTTAAAATGACTCTGATTATTGATGTGAGTTCTTTTTCAATAATATTTTATGTTTTTATTTTACAGCAATTGCTTGAGCTCGGAGAAAGAATCGGCTATGTGAAAACTGGACTTAAAGAAGATGAGATGAGACATAACATAAAGAAAATTAAGGTTTTGTTTTCGAATGATGTATCAAAGCATCAAATAGACAAAAAGTGCACCATTTGTCAAGTAAGTTTATAAAATTTAAATTAAGTTTCATATTTAATTAACATCATTAACACTTAATATATTTGATGTTGCAACACAACTGTCAACTGAACTGATTTAATGAGACTTAACACTTTATGTATAATATAATGTTAATACATGAATCTTTTTCATGTTTTCAGGAAGAGTATGAATTAGATGATGAATTGGGGATGTTAAATTGTGAACACTGCTATCATTTTCAGTGTATAAAACAATGGCTTGTGCTTAAAAATTTCTGTCCGGTTTGTAAGCATGAAGTCGCGGTTCGACATTGACTCAAGTTATGGGAATCTATTGTTTCTTTTTCTTTTGAAATTGATGTATATAGTTTTTCATATGCAATCTTTTATTAAATCTTTTGAAACCTTTAGTGAAGAATTTGAAACATGTGTTATATTTGGTAATGGTCTTACTTGTGAGAAAATTATGCTTTTCTTTCTTTTTTACTTTTGGCATGAAATTGGTGTTTGAATGCTCTTCATTGTGTTTTTCTACTTTATTTCATGCTTTGTTTTGAAATTTGAGTAAAAAGAAGATAAAGGAGCACTTGATAATATATTTCTTTTTCACTTTGTTGTTCTAGTTACAAATTTTATATTTTTAATGGGAAAATTCATGCATCTAATTTGTGACAACAACAAAAAAAAAGGTAATAAAAGCATTGGCCTACTTTAAAGTAGGGTTAACAAATTTTTACTCTTTGTCCTTGCTATTCTTTAACAAAGATGGATGGATCAAACCAAACATTTAGACTTGAGTGGTAAACAAATTCCTGCTAAAGAACGAACGTTCGGACTTGACCCGTATTATGATTTCTCGACTGATGATCTTGGATAGACTTCCACTTATAAACTCATTCGAATGTGGAATTCTTAACAATATTAATAAAAATAATTAAATGATTAAGTAAATAATTGGTGTATTCTATAAAATTATCAAATGAGTAAATAAAACAAATTTGATTACAACTTCACTTTCTCTTATATTTGCAAAAAGTCTTGCAATTTATTTACAAACAGAAGCTAATTCCTAATACATGTTTCTTTGGCATTCTGATAAAATTTGAATGACTTAGTACAACCATCAAAGAATTTGAGATAATTGTGACCTTGTATACTCTATTTACAGTTACATGTGTAAATGTTCTTGTTGAATTAAGAGAGGTTAAGAGATATTTAGGTTAAACTGTGTGTTTTGAAAAGCATTACGAAGATAATTATTTCCGGAATTTTGCAAAGATTTTGTAAACACATCTGTTAATTGATCATTTGAGTTGACAAAGCTTGTGACGATATCGTCTGACTCGATCTTCTCTCTGACAAAGTGACAGTCAATCTTAATATGTTTGATCTGGAAGACCGGATTTGAAGCAATGTGCAATACAGTTTGATTATCACAAATAAGTGTCATTGGTTTTACTTCTTCAATTTTAAATTCCTTGAGCAACTGTTTTTAACCAAATAAGTTCACATGTTGTCATCGTCATGGCTCTATACTTTACCTCAGCGTTTGATCTTGCAACTACATTTTGTTTCTTACTTTTCCAGGATATAAAGTTTCCTCCAACAAGTATACAATACCCAAAAGTGGATCGTCTATCAATGGGTGACCCTGCCTAATCAGCATCAGAGTATTCAACTATCTGAGTATGTCATTTGTCTTCATATACAAGACCTTTTCCTGAAGCACACTTGATGTATCTTAGAATCTGGACAACAACATCTATGTGTTCCTGGCAAAGAGAATTTAAGAATTGACTTACCACACTAACTGCAAAAGAAATGTCCGGACGAGTGACTGTGAGATAATCCAACTTTCCAACCAATCTCTTATACCTTCCTGGGTCTGATAGAGCTCCCCTGATTGGATAGCAGTTTGACACTTGGATCCATTAATAGACTCTTAGATATCATGTTGAATTAAGAGAGACTAAGAGACATTTAATTTAAACGTATGTTTTGAAAAGCACTACGGAGACTTTATTATATATAGAGATATTACAATTAATTACATGATATAGTCGTCGAGTGTGACTATTCTACATACAAATATATATCAACAGTTCTCTATGAGAATCTTCATATATATAAATATGTTACAGAATGTATAGATGAATGGTATTTAAAAGAGCAATGGATTATTAAGCCAAGTCATGATGAACGAGGAATTCGATTATACATGGATACAGTTGATCTGCTGCCTGCAATTGGAACGTAAAAGTAAAAAGTTAAGAAAACTCATTTTTCTAATCTCAAAAGCAATTCAGTCTCATTTATAAACAGTTCGTAGGTTGCATAAAGCCTTGTTTGGTCTCCATTATTCATCGAGAGATACTCGAATCAATCAATCAATCACATGTATATAGTATATTTTCTCAGGAGCAGATTAATTGAAAAAAAAACATACTGATCGACCACCCACTAAGTCATAATGGGCATAGTGTGGACCTCCAAACTCCCCAAACACTTTGTATGTAACCAGTTCCTCAGGAATAAGCTTCACCGTTTCTGCTTAATATTTATGATTATGTTATCATCATCCTAAAAAAAGAAGAGAGTTAAGCATTTAATGGATTATTTAGTGAAGTTTTAATACCATATACAGCTTCTGGGGGACAGATTAAGTCTTGGTCACCAGCAATTGCTAAAACAGGAACTTTAGTTTTGCAGAGATGATCCTTGTAGAAGAACGTTCCACTCCTGTCGCGTAAACCGCCGTTCTGTAAGACTGTTTTTAACTGCAAGATAAGCTTAGAAGGCACGGTACCTGCCAATCACGGGCCAGTCGTTAATTGCGGATCAATCAAGAGTTGAGAAGAGAAACGTTTTTCAAGCAATTGCAAGGCTTAAACCAAATTAACTAGTTAGAGTCTGGTTGAATTGATTTATTTGAACTTATGAAAACAGTTTATTACATGTCCATAAGCTGAATTTTTCAGCTTAGATAGCTTACGAAAATAACTTATAGTTTATATGAAAATATTCACTTTATTTTATCTGTTGTTATAAAAATAGTTTATACGTAAGCTTTTTTAAGCACTTACAGAAGTTATTCAAAACAAGTTTCTCAAACAATTTTTGATCCATCATGTCTTGAGCTGAAATCTGAGAATTTAGCCAAGATAAAACATACGGAGGATTTATCGCAAGAGGGTATGCAGAAGCAATCAGTGGTCCAACTGGAATAACTGGAACGTTTAAAGCTTGAACAGGTTCTACCTGCAAACAAACAAGTCGACAACATATATCACCACACGCATGGAATAAAATAAATAACTTTTTTTTGCCAAATCAGTTTTTTTTATCACTTGCCAGTGGTAAGAGCCATTTGAGAGATGATCTTGAAGGTGTATAGTCAAGCGATGATGCCAACGTAACAACTGATGCGAACGCAGAATCCTTTCCATCAAAACCTGTCATAAAATTTATAGAGAATAAGATGAAATATCAGTCACAATAGTGAAATAAATAGGCATCGATGATCAATGCTGTAAACAAGCCTCGTGAACTCAGAAGTTATAGAAGAAACAAATGACAAATTGGTTGGACTTACAACAACGCGAGAGCATTGCATACAACAAGATACCCCCCATTGAGTGACCAATCGCCAGCAATTTTCCATCTCTTGGTTGGCATTGAGCCTTTATATACTCCATCTAACGTATAAATGTTTAACAAAAATAATTCAGAAAGAAATTTAATGATATAAATCTGAAATTCTTATACCAATACTCTTCAAGAGTATCCACCTCACCGCGGCAGGTACATCCTCTTCAAGATAATGATCAAAGTCCCAATCATATTTGACAATCAACTCAAGCTGTTTCTGAAATTCTTCTAAAGTGCTAGTAAAACGGTCCGGCAACTCTAAAATCTGCTGTGGGAAAATTTGTTGACCTTTGATCAGGGTTTGAAGTCTCCGATTGAAATCCTTGATCTGACTAACAATTGCAGAGTTGGGTCTCCCTTTCGACAAATCTTACAAAAAAAAAACATCTTTTACTTTGTTAGTATATATATAATGATACAATGTTAAAAATGACAAGCTCCCAAGTTTCGTAGCTAACCGCTACTGAGAAAGCTTAAAAGCCTTTCAGACATCCCTGTAAGAACCTCCATCAACCTCGCCATTGGCCGTGATTCATCAAATTTAGCTTCTGAATCAAAGGAAGCGCCCGGCTTCTTAAATTCCAATGCTCTTTCAAAAGCACTACTTTTACTGTCATTAATTGCAGAATCAATCTCAGACGAATTCGTGAGACGCTCCTCATCTTTTTCCAAGTTGTTTCCATATGTGCTCAACCCTGCACCTCGAACCTCAAGAGTCCATGTATCAAATCCTTGTGCCGACATGTACCGAGCAAATGAAGACTGAACACAAACAACATACACTTAGCAACAACAATCCCATAAACAACATGCACTTAGAAACATCGATCCCACAAACAACATGCACTTAGCAACATCAATCATAGGTAACACTAGACTATTGTCAATAATAAACATGCTTAAGATTTAAATTTAAGGACACAAATTGTAGTCATAAAAGGTTTTAAGCTGCAGCCTGCAATCAGAGTTACAAATGCAACATCAAAATTTTTGAAGTGCAACTGCATTGGCTACTTTCGTCCGCAATTTTTTCCGGTGTCATGGATTAGGAATCAACCGCGAAGTTAATGCTACTGCATCGCAATTTAAAACGAAAGCAGGATACTATGACAATGAGATTAATGTTTATGTGTGTGTTTGGATTGCCATGAGTTTTGGCTTATGCTGCACTTTACATTTTCAACAAAACTACATTGCCATCATGGTTTTGCTAAACTCACGGCAATCCAAACAAGCACTTAGCGTGTGTGTGTGGGGTTCTGCAGTAAAGAAAATTGATTCAGAATAAGAGTGAGTTGAAGGTTAGAAGATTTATGTTTGGATAAATTTCTAAAAAAATGAGTGGAACCAGAAATTTCATCAAAATCAAGTTTAGACTTCAAAACTACAAATTTTAGCTTCTAGTAGAATCGATTCTGCTCGAGACAACCAAACATGTCAAAATCAATTCTACGCACATCAATTTTGGATACTTCAAACTTGAAACCAAACATCTATATTTGGTGATCAAGAAAGACATGGCAAGAACTCACGGTCAGCAAGAAGCTATAATCACGGTAGAAATGACTTTAAACGCACGGTAGCAGTGGGCCACCAAGTTACCAAACACTTAATCATTCTCAAAAAGATAACAACAAAAGTTGTATTACTTTTTCAATGGAAGAAACAAATGACCTCACCTCAGGAGAAAGATCATAGCCAATAGCATTCGTAGCCACCCCTGATAACAACAAAAGCGGATGATTCCTCAAAGGAGCCTGCATAACATACATAATAAAAAAGCTTATACCTTTAACAAAAACCTTAACACGTTCACCTTAGAATTTCAAAAAACTATAATGCAATATTGCAACAAAAAGCACACTATTTTTGTTTTCCTTTGATTTTGGATATAAACAACGAAATTGAAAAAAACCCAGAAGATACATCATTGCATTGTGAAAAGGGTATCCATAAAAACCGTAAAGTTGAGAGCTTTGAACCTTGTGAGAAGGAAGGTAGCGCCAAAGAGCAAGTTTCCAATCGGAGTTTGGAACAGTGACACGGTGAAGCTCATCGGCGGTGCATATAGATTGTGGCTTTACGTTTCTCTTTTTCCAATGTACTTTCGCCGGAGACGGTGGAGGATCACGCCGGCAATGAAAGATGATTCGGGTTTCATGTTTCGGGTCGGGTCGTGGTGGTTGGATGAAACTAAATGATGCACCAATGTTGTTGAGAAACATTTTTATTTTCAAATTTTTTTAAGGGGTGTTATGTAGGTTGTTTAGCCATATTATATGAAACAATTCAATTACAATTTTTTTCTTACATGAGAAAATTTAGATCAAGGAGACATTTATTTTTTCAAAAGTTTTGAATAAGAGATTATTTTAAAGATGTTTAAACATTTAGAAAGATTGTATAATGGTTTGTTTAGGAAGAAATTAACCTTTCTTGTCGTGAGAAAATTATTCACATCATTTTTCCAATCTTCACATACACCATCTCAAACCCATCCAATTAAAAAAAAAAAGTTGAAAGACTTAGTTTGTGTTTGGAAAAGTAAAAAATCACGGTGGGAAAATCACATTTGAATGAAGCTATCTACTTTTTAATTCTACATTCTTTTACAAAACCTAAAAAACATGTACACAAAAATTGTAAAAGACACCGTATGATGTCCAATTGTTGGATGCACAAATATCCTAACTGATAGATTAATGTCACTTGTAAGCTATTGTAAAAGTGGGATAATTACAAAAATATATATTTTTTCTATTTAAGATAATCAAACAAAGTATTATTTGTTTATAGATAGACAACGCATCTAAGTAATGGGTAGTTATACTATATGCATGAATAAGTAATATGTACTCACTCAACTTCATGATAGGTAGACCAATTCGTACATAAAATGAGTATACATAATAATTTTGATAACCTTTTTCTTTTATAGAAGTGAGATTTATCAATTTAACTTTGAAAATAAAAGGTTATTTTTAGCTGATAAACTCGTTTAAAATTATATGTGAGTATGTGGATGCCCATAAACATACCGTATACGTGTGTTTAAAGGAAATACGTGTGTTGAAAAATTGAAATGGAGCATTCTTATATGCTTATTAGGTATTGAAATTTAGGTTCTATTTTGAAAGTCAACCGATGTAATCGTAATAGATTTCGTAAGTGAATTATAATTACGTAGCTTAAAAAATATTATTTTTTATATTTTAAAATTACTTTTTAAGAGACTTTTTTTAAAACAATAAAACTCATTTTTTATTAATTCAAAATTTATGTCAAATAAGCTAAAAGAGAAACAATGACTTACTCTCGTTAGTAAGTTCATTCTTGTTCTCGGGATCCTAGAACCTTATGTTAAAATTATATTTAAAATTTGAAGAACTCCGAATCAATCTTGACGAATAAGAATCAATTATACCAATCGATTTTGCCTCTTATTCTTTACTATTCACTCGAGTGAATCAACCACACATTGGTTGCAAGATATTCCACGCAATAATGATTATGGGAAAAGAAAGAATTGAATTGGGGAAGAAAGTGAATTATGGTTGTTACCGAAAGAGGAAGAAGAATATATAATTTCTACAAAGTTTATTCTCAATTATGCAACTGCATTAGTTTTTTTCAATGGCAGGGATTACTCCCTATTTATAGACCGAGTTTGCTTGCTTACTAAGAAAACTCAAACTAACCTAATTCAGTTAAAATTACAAAATAAAGTTAAGTCTAAAACTGTCAAGATACACTTCTTCGACATTTCAACAACACTTAGTATTTCGACAATAACATGTTGTATTTGATTCTCTGCGAATACAACTCACATACTCTTTCGAAATAACTTTCTTTGATACAAAGACTTACATTCTCAACACACCACCTAATTCATTGTATCTAAGCTATTTACATTCATTATTATTCTTAATCTTCTGAACACTTTGACCTGCACATCCTTTGTCATTATGATGTCTGCAATCCAATTCTTTGTTCTTCAGTGTTCTAAGTTCAGCTTCCCTTTTTCTACTTACTCTCGAAGATAATAGAACCTCGTCTCGATGTGCTTGTTTCTTTCATGTGCTATCGAATTCTTCGTCCGATTGATAGTTGACGTGTTGTCGATCTTCATGATAATTGCTTCATGATTTTGCGTTGTAATCTCTTTGACCAAATTCACCATTCATATTGCTTGACAGGCACAAAGAGAAACAACTATGTACTCTACTCACTGAACGATAGTGCTACTACTGATTCTTTTCTTGAGTTCTAAGCAACTGGTACACCACCTAACATAAACACATAACCAGCTGTGGATTTTCTATCCTCAACATCACTACACCAACTTGAGTCGGTGTAACCCACTAGCTTGATTTTTTTTCCTTCATCAACTGTAGGAAACAAAGTACCATAGTCAATAGTTCCTTTGAGATACCTTAATATTATCTTCGTTGCTGCTAGATGTGCTACCTTTGGCTTCTGTGTGAATATACTCATCATACCTGCAATAATGCTAGATCATGCCTTGTGTGACAAAGGTATCTTAATGACCCAATAAGTTTTTTGTATTATGTTGGGTCGACATCATCTTCATTTGAGTTTTTCGACAGTTGCAGTCTTGGTTCAGCAGGTGTCGAAGTCGCATTACAATCTTCCATCTCAAATCTTTTCAGTATTTCACTTGCATGTCTTCTTTGATGCATCATCAACCCTCTACTACTCTTGTATAATTCAACACCAAGGAAGTATGAAATATTTCCCAGATCAGACATTTTGAATTCCTTGCTAAGATAACCTTTGAAGTCTTCAATTTCTTTCTTCACTATTATAAATAATACATTTCATGACGAAGCTTTCACCTTAGCAAAAAAACGGAGGTATTATGTCAAGGCGCGTCATGGTTTATTTTTTTATAAAAAATAAAAACAACATACTCTCTCGGATTTCAATAAAATCAAGGGGGAAAACAAACCAGGATACGCTTCGAATCCCATAGTTTATGTTTTTATTTGTTCATAAGTGAAAACTAAATGGTCTATCCCTTCGGTTTCCTCAATAACCGAGGAATAAAATAATCAGATTTTACTATAAAAGCTCTCGTTAACTAGATTTTACCCTAATCCTAACTTATATGTTACCGCCCCAAACTAGTACGCATCATTCTTTGTGATGAATTGTAAGAAAAAAATCTTCAATGTTCTTCTATCCTTGAACAAAACATATTTTTTTGCCTTTGATATATATCTCACATAATGGTGTTAATGTTGTATTTTTGGAACAACTCTCTGTTAAAAATATTGGAAAAGTTCCTTATAGTAGATTACAATTGCAGAAAATCATTCCTGCTTCCAGGTTAAACAAAAAAGGTTGTTCAACCTCTAAAAAGATATATGCAACAAAATATGGAATTGCAGCGATAATGATGAATATGAATTTTTTTAATATTCTGAGTAAACAATGTAATATTTAAAAAAATGTCATTCACCTCGATTTTATTCTAAAATCGAGGGATTTACTTATTTTATTTTATTTTTCTATTTAAAATAGAAAATATGTTTTCTCTCATGTTTTTTAAAAACCAAGAGAATATGTTACACAACTACAACAGCGAATATTTACCCTACTTTCTTAAAGGAACAACGCTCAAGATATTGCCAAGACATCAATCCACAACAAATTATCCACATCCACCACTATATATCTTTCTTATGAAAGCATTTGCCATGTAACATTTGCTCAAAATAATGAAATTTTGGAACTTAAAAAAGCTTGGAAAAGTTCTCAATGGTGGATTCCAAGTGCATAAAAAAAGCTTATACACTTTTTACCTCGATTTTGTCACAAACTGAGGGTATAATTTTTGGTGACAACTGAGGATGTATCCTTAAACAAATATGTGTCGTCCATTTCATAAGTATCAATGCTCAAGACACTTTCATTAGTGATTCGCATGAAACCTAACAGACATTCACTATATAAGAATTCTAAATATCAATATTTGTTAATGAAACATATAACATGAAAACTTTGAAGAGTAAAAAACTTGGTAAAGTTCTCTATAATGGATTGCAAGAGCAGAAAATAAATTGAATTTAAGGTTTGTGTTCTTCAATAATAATTTTTTTACGGTGTTCTTCAATAATCATATATTCATTCATTTAACTAACCATTTTATTGTTTTACACCAAAAACAAATAAATGCGAAAGGAATCTGGAATATATTGCATCCAACATTTTCTCTTGCCCGACATTTCAATTAAACCCGAAGATCTAACATCTGATCTTCACCAACAGTGATGACGATGAATCAGATTCAAAATTTGTTATATATTTACATAAATATTATGTGTAAACAATGGAATATTATGGGTAAACAATTAATTTATTAATATTTTATAGTTTGTAACGAGTTTAAAAAATATCAATCTTACCCCCTCGGTGTTATTGATAAACCGAGAGGTTTGATGCGCTAGTTTTAAAAATATTAAAAGTGCAATGGTTGGGATTCGAACCCATGTGTATAAGCATTTTCCCCTTGGTGTTTTAACAACCGAGGTGTAAAGTTGATACTTTTCATGATGTCCTTCATTACCTTGCTTCTTTAGCCGAGGTTAAATTCATTTCGTGTCTGAGGTGAAATTTGTTTTTTGTAGTAGGACTTACAGCTACCTGTGATTAACAAGCCATCGACATAGAGACACAGTATAAGAAATTCACTCTTGCTTCTTCTTATCAGAAGGGAAAATACATTGGAGTATCGATGTGTACCATGCATCAGAATTTATATATAGTAATTTATTTACTCCATGCTCAGTTGTGCACTTTACAAATTCCTTCTCCCTTAGTAAACTATATATCTTCTTATTCCAAGCTCTTGAAGTTTGTTTAAGTCCATACAAGGCTTTATGCAGCCTGTATACCTGACTTTCTTGGATTTTTTTTCATAAACTCAACTGGTTGTGTAACATAAAATTATTCATTTAATGGACCATTTAGAAATACACATTTCACATCCATCTGACACATATGCCAGTTTTTCAGGTTTGTTAAACCAACAACCAACCTGGTTGTTTTGATCCTAGAAACAGGTGTAAAAACTTCATCGAATTTTATTCCTTCTTTCTGAATAAATACTTTTACCAAAAGTCTTTCCTTATGTCGAGTTACTTCTCCTTTGGGATTCAACTTCACCTTGTATACCCACTTCACATCTATTTCCTTCTTTCCT